TCTGATCTCCAGTGCCATTGGAACGAGGAGTAGCTAAAGCTTCACTCAGTGGGGTTCTTTCCTTGCCCTGCAGCTTTCTTCTCAAAATTAGTGTAGAGTGCTGGAGCTACATGTTCTGGAGCACATGCCCAACCTGATGGCTCCTTCCAGTCAAACCCTTTCTAGGGCAGTGGTTTTCAGCCTCTTTTCAGTGTGCAGACTCCCAAATCTCTTGTAATTAAATCTGTATTGCTATATAACAAAGTTGAGTGTAGTGACAGCAGCTTCCTTTCAGTAACTTCTGGCTTCATAGCGCTTACACCTGGGTCTGTGTGTAGTGGACCACGGCTCCCAAGGAGTAGGATAAGTGACTTGATGTGTCGCATCTCAGCGTGCTCTCTCTCTCCTTTGCTGCCAGCTGCTGGGACCGTTACTGTAGACTCATTTGATGAACTGATTTTAAGAGTGATTTATATCATAATGCCTTTCTCTTTTTCCCTTTCCCAAAGCAACTTGTAATTGTGCTGACTGGAGAATCTCAGGACAGGGATTTGACATTTTGGATTATACACTTAATTCCTTGAGCACTTTTTCCCCAAGAGCAGCAGCTGCCTGTTGTAGTTTTCCATTTATTAATTGAATCCTGGATGTGTGCACACACACAAGCTAGTCTGCAGGATAAGGATCTGTGCAAAGCTTTTCTTCTGCAGAAGGATTGTTTGGCTCTCTCCTACCTGGTTAAATCTTAAACGTTAGTATCTTCTTTTTTTTATGAACCACAACAAATCCTTTTGTCCCATAATGCTAGCTCTGAAAGAGAACGAATCCGAGGAAGCAGTGTTCAGAAAAAAATTGATTTTTATAGACAGAAGATTTGTTTAAAAAAAAATAATCAAGCTGCTGGTCCAGAGCAGAGGCTTGTTGCTGCCTGGCTCAGAGGGTGCCGCTCGGAGTCCTCCCATAGCCAATGCTGCAGCTAGCCCCCCAGCTAGCCCCCAGCTAGCCCCCCAGCGCCTGGGCGTCGGAGCAGGAAGCTTTCCTCTCTGCTGGTGTTCAGCTTATGCCCTGCAGCATGTGCTTTTGACTCTAGTAGCATTGATACATAGATTTGACCACTAATAACGAAACGTAGCTGTCTGTTTGTAGCTGTAAATACAAAGCCTCTGTTTCTAATCAGTGCATGGTATCATAGTGCATGCTCTGTGTGTTGTCCCCCCCCCACCCCTTTTATTTACAGTGCACAGCCTCAGGTTTGTTTGCATCTCCACACTGTTTTAAGAAAAAAAAAATATAAATAATCTCCCAACGTTTCTAGTTGCCGATAGCCCGACTCCTCCCCCCCCTCCGCCTCCCGACGAGATGCCGATGTTTGATGACTCTCCTCCTCCTCCACCCCCGCCCCCCGTGGATTACGAGGATGAGGAGGCCGCTGTGGTGCAGTACAGCGATCCCTATGCAGATGGAGATCCTGCCTGGGCACCGAAAAACTATATAGAGAAAGGTAAGAGAAGCGTCGCACGTCCGTGTTACGGCATTATCAGGGGATTAATGGTATCTGAAAGGAATGAAGGACTTAGCTTGGCTCTGGGGAAAACAATCATAGTCCCTGCTAAATCAGAACTCAAATCATTCTTCTCTGAGTTTGTCTGTGGCTACACCTCATGTGATAAAATATAATCCTTCTTTGGAAGGATGATAAAATACCTTCAAGCATTCTAGAATGGATTAAAAAAATATAAAAACCCTTCATTTGAGAAGCAGATGTAAATTGGATGGCTTTTCGTCTTTGCTGAGCTGCTGGACCGTCTGTAGGTACCTCAGGATGGCTGGGCAATCATCTAGAAATGGTGTCACTAAAAGGCCAGAAAGACCCAGCTCTGTTTATCCCATCAAACCAGCTCCCTGGGGTGGTCCTGAGGCTCTCAACTCTAAAATGCACTGAGGCTTCCTTGGAGGTTTATCAGTGACTCTAGATCAGGCTATAAACTCTGCTGAGGTGTGAACTCAGAGCAAAAGCACCTTCCCACGTGACTCTAGATCAGGAGGCTATAAACTCTGCTGGGGTGTGAACTCAGAGCAAAAGCACCTTCCCACCCGTAGCTGAGGTGTGGGTTTCCTGCCTGTAGAGTTGTCCTGACAGTGACCATTTCATCAACAGCAGCGTTGGGAGTTTTCTCCTGCTGGGGCTGGTGCTGGTGCCTACGCCATGGGGCTGGGTCCCCGCGGTGCCTGTGGGGCAGAACTGCTGTGCTCCATCCTCACCCCGAGCTGCACCCTCTGCAGGGCCACCCGGGGATGGAAATAACCCCCAGCCCACAGGGGTACTCGCGAGGCGTTAAGGCATCAGATTTCTGAAATTATATCTATGTAAAATAGTAGGTTCTTGGAATTCATAAAACTGATCAATCGCATAAATCCACGTCAGCTGTTCTGAAGGGTAGGGCTGTGATGTCCCAGGTTTGTGTGTTCAGGGGCAGTTTTTAATTTCAGTGTTATTGGTGGCGACATTTCCTTTCCTTGGGGAGATCTCTGCTGTAACTGCACAGGGTGAGGGGGGTTGGCAAGAGGAACATGTTCACCGAGCGGGTACTGAAATGCAGCTGGTGGTGCTGGAAATTTGCTTCTACTTTTTCCTGCTTTCACACCTGCACTCATTGCAGCTCCTTGAAAAGTAACATCAAAACGTTTTATCCCATCCATTTCTGCACAGGGCCGTTCAGACGCTGTGCTTACGGGCCCATACACTGCAGTACATGCTCTGGAGCTGCTGGGGCCATAGAGGGTTGTTTTTTTCTGTCGGTCCATTTCCACAGAATGATTTTTTTAAACTTTTTTTTAGGCTTTCTCTAATCAAGAGATCCCTACACAGGGATCTCTGTGCTTTTGAGGTCATCTGACCAGAAATGACCGCCCCAGCTATAGAGCCAGTTATTCCCTAGTTCAGCTTACAGGTGTCCATGTGCTCTGCTTGACAGTGTCAGTCAACTCGACCTCTCTGTCAATAGTTTAACTGAGTGTAGTCACCACCCACTGCTTACTGGTAGCTGATGTTGCAAGAAAAGTCAAATTTCATCTTCTGGACTTAATGTTCAACAGGGAAAGCATGTGAGTTTGTTATGGAAAATCCCAGCATATCAAACTAGTCTTTTAAAAAATAGCTGTACTTACTAGTGGTGCCGTTACTAACATGCTGACCGTGTTGCTGTTCCATCCCCAGTTGTTGCTATATATGACTATACAAAGGACAAAGACGACGAGCTGTCGTTCATGGAGGGTGCAATCATTTATGTGATAAAGAAGAACGATGACGGCTGGTATGAAGGAGTCTGCAACCGAGTAACTGGCTTGTTTCCTGGCAATTACGTTGAATCAATCATGCACTATGCCGATTAAAATCCTTTGCTTTTCAAAGTTGGGTCTCGTATTCAGTCATACCATGATTATTTACAAGGGGTAATTAAAAGCTAACAGAATTGTCTTAATATACTTAAAAAAAAAAATGTGCCCATTTCTTCAGGCCATACTGTTTAATGGTATGATTGAATGTCCATCTCTCTGAGTCTCTGGGGACAGTATGTCTCACCTGATGGCAATTTGTAAAACAAGCAACTGTCTATAACTGGTTATACTTATTTACTTACGCATTGTTAATTTTATGACCAGCCTAAATATTCTGGGGAAGTAGGGTATAATATTTAATGAACCATGATCAGATTGTGCCATTACATTTTTCAGTACAGCATGGTAACTAACACTACGTTAGACTAACATATTAAAATCTGGATGAGAAGTTTAATGTTAGTGCTGGTCATATTACTTTTTGTTTAGACTCTTTGCTCATTCTTGAACTATATTTGTTTAAAGCATGCATACAAACTTATGTATTGAAATATACTTTTTTAAAAATCCAAGATGCTTCCAATTGTTGTAATCTTTACCTGGAGTATTCTCACTAAAGTCTATTACAATGAGTTGTTTGGGTCTAAGGTGTCCATGTGAATCAAAAAATGGGTGGTCTTATGTATGTGTAATTTGTACCCAAGTTTTTTTAATGAGTAAATTTACATTATAACTTTTTCCATTCATAAATATATAAGTGAACCAAAGGTCTTGTCCATTACTTTGTTGGTTGGCTTGGCAAAGAAGTTTGGAATGCTGACGTAGCGAAATCATGGCTGTGTTATCCCAGGCAATGTACTAAAAAGCAAATGTTTGTAACGTGACTTTATCACTGACAGAGGGCAAATAAATTAGATATGAAACCTGAATCACACATTCATACATACTCTTAAAAGTTCTTTTCTTCCAAATTTAGTTTTAGCGAGGGTTCTCGATTGGATCTAGTTACCCAGAGGCAGTAAGTTGGACACGTTTCTCCACAGAGACCGTCCCTGGGTTGGTGATGTGTCCACGGAGCAGGGACAGGCTGTCCTCAGGACAAGAGGTGACAAAGGGGAACAAGCACGACAGGAACTTGGCCATTGTGCTCAGAGATCCCAGGCAGAGATAGTTAGAGAAGGTGCACTTCCCTGTTCTACACACTCTGAGGAGGAATGTGGTAGTACTGGATAATTACTGCCAGAGGAATGTGTCTGGGACTTCAAAGCAGCCCTCTAGGAGGTACTGAGTATTCTCTGTGCAGGAGTGAGGAAGGTGAGGGAGGTGAGGCTGTGACTGGCTGCTGAATCAGTTCATTTTTAGCCTGAGCTAGAAATACCAAGCCTTTCTCAACTGCAGCACTCTCAAATGCTGCATCTTGTTCACTGCGAGCAAGTAGCAACCAGTAGCACACCTGTATGGCATTGTGAACGGGAAAACTTCTCATTGATGAATATAACCAATTAAAGTACACATAGAGTCTTTCATCATAAACCAATTTCCATAAATACAATTCCAGGTACTTCTGTAGTTTAAACAGCCAGCAAAGCATTCAAACCATCTCTCTCCCCAGGAGTTCACCAGACAGTAACGTGCATGCTCTGGTTATTAGCATGAACAATAGAAATTTGGAACAACTTGGGTTCTCATCCACTGATTGGTATTTATTCTCATTGTGGCCTTTGTGCATCACCATGTAAACATCTTCCCCACCCCCCGCGATTAACAGCCCCCACTAAAACAATCGTACAGCACAGTTTGATTTGCTCTGAACTGTATGGCTTCCCACAATAAAACACTTTAAACTTTTGTATTTAAAAAAAAAAAAGAAAAGTTGAACTTCCAAAAAAAAAAAAAAAGTAGTTTTTTAAAAAAATAATTTTTGGTAGCCTGTGTTGGAAGCAGATAACTTTTTGAAGTAACTTTAGGCACAGTCTGGTAAGTAGCTGCCAGAAGGAGGGGAGGAGCTGTCTCACTTGTCTCGCATGAGCACCATCTCCGTCAGCTGGATGAGGGCTTCTCTCTCCGGGGAGGGCCGCAGTTTGCTGATCTGGCGCGTGGCTTCGTGGCAGTAGCGCTGGGCGAGGTAGGTGGTTTGCTGCACTCCATCACTCTGGGGAGAGGAGACAGGTAAAGGTAAAGGTAAAGCCTCCCTCCTGCCTTTTGCAACTCCTCCAGTTACAGGGGGGGGTTTTAAGGTCAGTGAGTACCTGAACCCTTAACTACCTTCTGAAGGGGAAAGGGAGAGGATTCGTTCTGTGTTCATTGAATCCTACACCTCTTCCCCAAAGTGTCAAAATACTAAAACTCCTCCATGCTACACTTAACTGTACTTACAAACCAACACTGCTGTTAACAATGTGCTATTCAGTAGGATCAGAAACTAATGCTTTAGCCCCTCCCCTCCTGCCCTAAATAGAGATGTACCGAAAAACAGGCTATCCTGAAAAAACAAGTATTAATTTTGCACAGATGCTTATTTAGTCTTTTCAGACCAGAGTCAATTAAAACCGATATGGAGCATGCACTGCAGTTACAGGAGTGGTAATTATGTGCCTCTTACACCAGTTGTTGGATGCAGCTACTCTGCAGCTGAAGGGACTGTGTTCGTGCATGAGCTTTTTACTTTTATGTGGATTTTATGCTATTGGAGGGGAAAAAAGAAAAAAATAAAAAGGCTTTTTAGTACCTAGCACTTCTGCTAAAACACTGTGCCAGTAGGACAGCTGAAGAGTACTAACTTGGTATTGTGCACAGCCTGCTACTTAATGTGGATTTGAAAAGGCAGCCCCGCTGTTTTACTTCAGAGGCAGTGAATGTCAGACCGACTTCAGCAGGGACAGCACTTCAGGAATGAAATACCTGGTCTCAGTCCTACCTGCAACACGTATTTCCGCGCACGTTCGACGTCTCCTGGCTTACTGAACCGTCGCATGATCATGGCGTTCATTTCTGGAAACTGAGCACAAGGGGAGAAGGTTTTGTGATGCCTACGAGTTGTTTTCCGTGCAGCTGCCTGCTGGGCTAAGGGCAAAGGGATGGGCAGTGCAGCCCTCTGCCCCTGTCACTACAGGTACAGCTGTAGGGTAGTGCCTGCAGTCTGCATAAGGCTGTAGTAGAGCAAAGCCCAAGCATTTAAAACTCAAACTGGCTGGCTCTGTCGGCTGTAGCCAGTTGGTAGCAAAAGTTAGCACCTGCCCTTTCATCATGTGGAGCAGATGATCCAGCGTGGTCATTCCTGCTGTGGCTACTTCCAGGTATTCTTAGATCACGAACCATGGTTGGTGTTGGCACAGCCAGAAGCAGCACCTCTTCCCCCACACGTGCAACGGAGAACAGAGAACTCAGGAGGTTTGTTATATCTCTACTGCACCATTCAACCTGTGAACCCCTTCGTGATACCTTTGACTGTGAGATCCACTTCTTTCCATTGCTCTGCTATTTTATAACTTCAGGAAAGCTCAGGACAGATTTTTAGAAGAGCAAAATGACACCTGTAACGTTTTGTTTTCAGTCACACAGAATTTGTACTTAGTACTGCACACTCAATTCCCTACAAATCCAGTAGATCAGTCAGTCATCTTGAGAAAGCCACTACATCCCTTATCCAAACACACAGGCACTTTCTTCAGACAGTCCAGAAATAGAAAAACCTGGTCCTTAACAAACAAACTACGGCCACGACTCAAGGCAGCTACTCTGCAGAAGAATTATTTTAAAAGGAAAGAGATGTTTGTTCATCTTGTCTGAAAGGGTTATAGTCAAATATTACTTTATTGCCATACACCTGTAAATGACGATGTGCTTTCCTTGCACACCTCTGGTCCTGAAACTGAATCTACAAACTTGTTAGAGAACAAACATGTAACATCCTTCATTGTTGTGACATTTCCCTCTTACTCACAGGTATTCTTCTTGGAAGATACAGTTAGAAGTTTATTGGTGACTCATACTTGGCTTTCTCTAGATCCTAGCTCTCTTCCTATGTAATGACAATTTAATTGCAATGTTCACATAATCCATTTTCATATTATTCATATTTACAATGGTATAGGATGCATATGCTTTCACTTTTTTAAGTACTGAAGGATATAAAAATCCCCAAACCTGTAATGCAAAGCTGTTATTAGCAGTTCTGCACACTTAATGGGCCGTACACAAGCATTTGACAGGAATGCTTGTAATGGAAATAAACCCTCAGCCTTCACTTGTACTAGTTTAAGAGTGGCTTTACACTTAGTGTACACTAACTAATGTATTTCCTTAAAAAATAAATGCTGGTGGTTTTGTTTTTTTTTTAAGAGAGTGAACTAACCGTATACTAACTAATCTATTTCCTGAAAAAATAAATGCTGTTTCTTTTTTTTAAGAGAGTGAACTAACTTTAAATTGTACACTAACTAATGTATTTCCTTAAAAAATAAATGCTGGTGGTTTTGTTTTTTTTTTAAGAGAGTGAACTAACTTTAAATACTGAATAAATAGGTCTCTCATCAAGCTAAACATTTCTTATATAAAGGCTTCTCCTTAATATTCTAAGGAACAAAGATGTATTTCAGAGAGAGGGGAGAGGCCAAGAAGAAAAGGCGGCTGTCACTGCAGCTCCGGGGCACGTTGGGAGCTGGAGGATGTGTGTGGGGCAGACAAGGTGAGGATTGTCAGCTCCACTGGAGGGTGTGCAAGACAGCCCGAATCATCATTGCAAGAGAAAAGGCAGCCTGTAACTAACAACTACATTTTGGACTATCTTCAGCTCCTGGCTCAGTAGTTTTTATTCTCAGACACAAATAGATGAAATATCTTTTAGGAGCAGCACATATAAGTGTCTGTCGAAGCTCTGAATTTCTTTAGCGCTTATACTTTGTTTATATATCACAAATCTGTAGTGCCATTCTTTCAGTTTCATGAAAACAGCAGGAAATTTTCAGTAAAGAAGCCTTCTGGTTAATGAGGAAAACTCTGCAAGATGGTCAGGTTATCCTTCAATGCAAAAACATACACTTCCATCTATCAAAGATACACCACAAGACAGCCCGAATCATCATTGCAAGAGAAAAGGCAGCCTGTAACTAACAACTACATTTTGGACTATCTTCAGCTCCTGGCTCAGTAGTTTTTATTCTCAGACACAAATAGATGAAATATCTTTTAGGAGCAGCACATATAAGTGTCTGTCGAAGCTCTGAATTTCTTTAGCGCTTATACTTTGTTTATATATCACAAATCTGTAGTGCCATTCTTTCAGTTTCATGAAAACAGCAGGAAATTTTCAGTAAAGAAGCCTTCTGGTTAATGAGGAAAACTCTGCAAGATGGTCAGGTTATCCTTCAATGCAAAAACATACACTTCCATCTATCAAAGATACACGAGGAAAAGCATTTAAAAGTGACCTATAAAGAACAAGTAGGATTTTTAAATAGAACTGACAGATTTTCTTTTCTTGTATTTCCATATTATGAACTCATTTATCTTAGCAAGCTAATTGAATGATAAATGAAGTTGAAAGTCAGAGACAGCCAACCCAAACAAATGAATAACAGAATAGTCTGAATTTAAAAAAATGGGAATATTCAACACCCACAAGACAACCGGTGTCACCCGTTCTCTGCCAAAATCAAGAATATCTGCAACATGTCCCTGTTTCTCTCTACGAGCTTTAACACACAAACAAACCAACCATTTCACAATTGCATCCTCTTTCCGTACCGGAGTCTCTCACTGTTCTTTAGACACCACCAGTGGCTGATGACTAACGAGATCCTGCTGCTAATAAACAAATTCTGAAATAATGATTCAAGAACAAGTTTGTGAATCCCCCAGATGAGTCTGTGGGGAGGAACTGAGCCCACGGAGGAGGTTGTTCTCCGCGTGCATCCATCTCCATTCTCAGGTGGCCCATACTCTTTGCTTTCCTGTCTTTTCTGAGACACGTCTCCTTGTAAATGCCCAAAGGAAGAGGAAACACATTCCTGTGTTCCACCTCCCCACGCCCCAGGCTCTTTAAGGGGAAGTAAATTCATAAAGTTTTATTTTTTTAAATGATCAAAAACTTTCCCCATGTCAAGCTCCGAGCAATTCCACTGAGAGCTCACAGACTGGAGCTCTGCTGGCACTAGTTGTGCCAGCTTTTGCATCGTGCTGTGAGGTTTGGTAGAAGGACTCCTTTCTGAGTCCCAAATCTTCTTTCCTACATGAACCAGAAGCTTGAGCAAGGTGCCTTAAACCAGTGTCTTCCCCTTTTATGGGTTAGCACCAATTTAAATGTTTCATTCGGTGCTGCTGTCACTTGTTTGCCTTCTACTTCTATAAATAATTTTTAAGCCACTAAAAATCTTGACCAATTTTAAGCTTATTTTATTTCTGATAGTCCTTTGCTCTTATCCAAACTACTATTACGTTTACCTACAGAAGGGAAAGCTTCCCCCATTTGTAACTGGGTAAGACTAGAGGACAGAGAGATGAAGAGATCAAATCCAATAAATAGAGGTGCCCAGCTAAAAGCTAGGCAGAGATTTAAGTTCTTGGCCCCAGGATGGATACAAAGCCCAAAAATTGGCAAGCCTACGTACATGGTCAATAATGGGGAGAACAAGATGTCTCGGCAAAGAACACAAGCAAGAAGCTACTTGGGAATAACCTGCAGAAAACATGCACAAAACCTCTGCGAACAGCTGCCCCTTTGCGATGGTAGAGCATTCCAACTGGGGCAGCAGAGACTGGAGCTGCTTTTGATGAAGGCCCTAACGGGAAGAGGACCTGTGCAGGAAGGTGTTTTGGTTTGGAAGAGCGCGCCTGTGCACGCCACAGCCAGCTCATCTTGATTTTTCACACTGATTTTTCACAGGCACCCAGGCCACGCTCATCACTTACGCTGCAGGTGTGATGTGTTTGAGCTGGACCCCTGTGTGTGCCACCAAGAGCAGTGCACACTCCTGGGTTTGGGAAATGGCTCTCTGCTGACTTACCTGTCGGCAAGCAAATAAGACGGGGCCCGTGGCCAATCCAAGCTTGAGATCTGCTGCTGCTGGTTTCCCCAGACGGTCGGCACACGATGTAAAATCCAGCACATCGTCTATCAGCTGGGAAGAGATAAACATGCAGATTATTTAAAAACTTTTTTTTAAAAAAAAAAAACAAGAACTAAATACAGAGTAATCCTTGTTAAGAGAAGATTTATAGAAAGGATTAAGAGCCCACTTTGATTTCTAAGGCAGTTTGGAAAAGTTTAGATTTTAGATTCCCTTTAGTTCAACAAAAACACTACCTGAAAAGCAATGCCAACATTTTTTCCATACTGGTATGCAATCTCATGAACTTTGGGATCAGGGCAGCCTAGAATTGAAACCTGAAAAGACAAAAAAAACAACCCTAAGAAAATAGCTTTAAAAAAGCTCTTTTAGTCTCTGCCCATAGGTGTGACATAGCAAGCACAGACAATAGGGATCTGGGAAAAAAAGCTGACTCAGCAGCACATTCGTGCTTATCTCTATACACACAAACAGGCAAAGCTTGTTAGAAACTAAGGCTGAACAGCAGTGCAATATTAAAAATATATTCAAGCCTGGAAAGAGATTGGCTTTATTAAATATTTATCAGACTTGGAAATTATAATGCAAGGATGAAAAGAAGAAGTGTGGATGTGCTGCTTACACAGGCTGGTGGTCATACACAGCCCAGTGACAGGGGAATTAGATTTATAACATATATAAATCAGCCAGGGGATGATTGGAGGTCACACAACAGATACACGGACATCACATGCCTCATAAAAGATACACAAACTGGATGTGTTGCACCCAGTGTAGGAGGGACAGTTGCGATAAGGAAGGCTATTTTTAAGGGTGATGTTAACTATAACTGAATTGCTCAGGAAGATGAGCTAATTAGCTCGCAGACAAAGGTATCAAGGGATAATTAGTGGCAAAGAAAAGACAGTGAATGAAGAAAGTACACCAAGCTAGACAAAAGTATCACCGAATTGAGATTATAAAATAAAAGATTTTAATTGAGTACAGACAAAGGAATCGACTACTTGAGAGAGAAGTTTTGCTGAATGAACTCCATAAAGCTAAAATACAGGACACAAAGTAAGATTTGAGAATTATTATCTTGCCTCAAAGTAAGAGCACTTATGCTTTTGCATTTATATATTGATTATACACTTTGCAAAATGAGGTTGGTTATATTTAAATACTCGGATTTATTTCAGCCTTCAATACAGCAATTAGGAATGGGGGGGGGGGAATCCATCCTGTTTTCCTGCAGACATCCCAAATCTGCTGTGACTAATGGAAGGAGTGAAGGTACATTTTACTTAATGCAAGACTAAAAATACATGCTAGGAGAACCACACGACATAAAAATATGTATATATATAAAAATTCCTCTTTAAGACTATGTGAGGTAGCATAACTCAAAAAAAACAAACCAAAATCCAACCCCAAACTAAACCTAGTCCAGTAGTAATTTTGAAGGTGAACATGAAGATGGAAATAAGAAACGTTGTATCCTAATAAATGCAATGCAACTTACACAAGATTAGAGACTATTTCATGCATCAGTGCATTTTGTTACTGAGCATCAGAACAATTCCCAGCCATAACCTGCACCTGCAGGTAACAGTTATAACCCAGAGGAATCCGGATGCCTGAGGCAGGAACACAGTTCCCAATCTTATTTAAAAGAGGAAGACAGCATAGCAGGAAAATAATGCTACTTATGTCTAATCATACACAATTCTGAAGGCTATTAAAACAGAGTCAACGGCAAATATGAGATATTTAAATAGATGTTGCTAGGGACTATCAAACTAGAACCTTTTACCCTTTTATCCTCCTTTTGATGCTTGTCTCAAATGGCAGTATTTGCCCCAAAGATCTAACATCACCTACTGCTAGCAAACATACCTAGCAAACTTCTGGTTGCATCTGTAACACGAATCAAACAATATCAGCACAGCAGAGGGACTGCATCTACCCTGCTCCAATGAAATCTTTACCCAGCACCACATTCCATGTGGAGAAATAAAACACAGAATTCAGGAGAACAGTGACAAAAGCCCTGGTCAATGGCACAGGGTGAGGGTGGGCACAAGCTGGTATATGGAGAGAGGAGGTGCCACGTAAAGAACAGAGCTTTCCCATTTAATCTGAAAGGTCAGAGCAGAGCTGTGCCTGGAAGTGGACAGTTTTCTGGGGGCACAGACATCACCTCTTGCATCTTTGCAAAAGACCTTCATAGCTCTTACTCAGGTTACGAACACTGCTGAAGACCAAAAAAATAATTTAAAAATCCAGGAGGTTGATATGCCCATCACACCTCACGTGAGCAACTCTCTGACCATGACCACATCATAAACCTGCAACATGACTGGGCCTTGGCTACCAGGGGGTTCCTTCAGGAGCCAATTTCTCCAACTGCTCTTGTGGGTTATTGCCCCCATCTGGGCACTGCCCGGGATGCAGACAGGCAGCCTCCTCCACTCTGAGACTGATGGAGGTCAACTGAAGCCGTACTGGGATAATAGCATACATTTACAAATACAAATCAGGATAACAATATCGATATAAGTTTAAATGATAAAGCTCACCCTTTGAAAATATCCTGTAGCTCTCCTAATATGACTGGTTGATTTAATCATGCAAGAATTCAGACCTGCCCTCCCCTAAATTCCTGATGAAAAACCCTTCCTAATACCAAGTGGAACAAATTCTTAAGAAAGGTTCTTTGAATTCAGTAAAGCAAGTCAATCTGCTTGGCATTATTTCAAACACACTTCCTAAAATAAATGGTTGTTTCTATTATTTTATGTTACACAAAAGACTATAAACCAGACTATAAACCAATCTTGCCTCTTTACTGAATTTCACATCCATAAAATATCCTATCATCAGCTGTGGGTAGAGACACCCTGCTCTGTTATTTATCATGTGAGGGTACAGCAGCTGGAGTTGAAAATGCACAACTACACCAGTGCCCTGTAGCTCAGGGAGAGGAAAACCTGCTGCTGGGCAGGGGTATGCTTGGATAAACACTGCAAGAGATGTTTGCTCTCATACTCCTAGATCTGTGGACACCATGGGAAGGAAACGGCTGGAAAAGGGGGAAGATTTTAGAGCCTTTCTTCTCCACGTCCATCTCCTGAAGCAGTCAGGATCCTGCCTTCTTGTTCACGGCTCATCCACTGCTGTTGTTCCAGACAGGAGCACTGTCCTCTTTCCAGTGGAACCATGTAACAGTTTAGGTTGGGAGGGAACTTCAGAAGTTATTTAGTCCAGTCAACTGCTTGAAGCAGAGCTTACTTCACAGTAAGATCAGGTTGCTCAGGGCTGTGTCCAGTTGAGTTCTGAGCATCTCCAAACATGAAGATCTCACACCCTGTCTGGGCAACCTGTTCCAGTGTTTGACCAACCTCATGCAGAAATTCTTCATAATAGCTAACTGAATTTTTCCATGGTACAACTTGTCCTTTCACTGCGCATCTCTCCATCCTCTCTACGCCCTCCCATTACAGAGCTGGAGACAGCCAGAGGGTTCCCCCTCAGCCCTCTCTACTCCAGACTCAAATCAGCCTCCCTGGAGGCCCTCCACTAAACTCACTCCACCATGGGAATGTCTGTCTTGCTTGAGGGACCCCAGCCTTGAGGTCCCACATGTGCTAAACAGAGGAGAATGGTGGCTTCCCTTGATTTGCTGCCTCTTCAAATCTTTTTTGGTACCTGCTCTTGGAAAGGGGGCTATGAAGGCCCCCTGGGAGAGGCGGATAAACGCTGCAAGAGATGTTTGCTCTCACACTCCTGGATCTGTGGACCCCATGGGAAGGAAAAGGCTCTAAAATCTTCCCCCTTTTCCAGCCTTTCTCCTCCACATCCATCTCCTGAAGCAGTCAGGATCCTGCCTTCTTGTTGGAACACAGTTCCCAATCTTATTTAAAAGAGGAAGACAGCATAGCAGGAAAATAATGCTACTTATGTCTAATCATACACAATTCTGAAGGCTATTAAAACAGACAGGTTGCTCAGGGCTGTGTCCAGTTGAGTTCTGAGCATCTCCAAGCATGATCTCCTCACACCCTGTCTGGGCAACCTGTTCCAGTGTTTGACCAACCTCATGCAGAAATTCTTCATAATAGCTAACTGAATTTTTCCATGGTACAACTTGTCCTTTCACTGCGCATCTCTCCATCCTCTCTACGCCCTCCCATTACAGAGCTGGAGACAGCCAGAGGGTTCCCCCTCAGCCCTCTCTACTCCAGACTCAAATCAGCCTCCCTGGAGGCCCTCCACTAAACTCACTCCACCATGGGAATGTCTGTCTTGCTTGAGGGACCCCAGCCTTGAGGTCCCACATGTGCTAAACAGAGGAGAATGGTGGCTTCCCTTGATTTGCTGCCTCTTCAAATCTTTTTTGGTACCTGCTCTTGGAAAGGGGGCTATGAAGGCCCCCTGGGAGAGGAAGATGTCTACCCAGCCAAAGCTGCCACACACAGCAGACAACTACTTCGTCCTGAATCTGCATTTTCATGCCATTTGACCTTTTCTCAAGTAATTAATATTTTAACATGTTAACCGAGTACTTGTTTATGAAGAACTGTCGTTGTATCCTAATAAATGCAATGCAACTTACACAAGATTAGAGACTATTTCATGCATCAGTGCATTTTGTTACTGAGCATCAGAACAATTCCCAGCCATAACCTGCACCTGCAGGTAACAGTTATAACCCAGAGGAATCCGGATGCCTGAGGCATGAACACAATTCCCACTTTTATTTAAAAGAGGAAGACAGCATAGCAGGAAAATAATGCTACTTATGTCTAATCATACACAATTCTGAAGGCTATTAAAACAGAGTCAACGGCAAATATGAGGTATTTAATTAGATGTTGCTAGGGACTATCAAACTAGAACCTTTTACCCTTTTATCCTCCTTTTGATGCTTGTCTCAAATGGCAGTATTTGCCCCAAAGATCTAACATCACCTACTGCTAGCAAACATACCTAGCAAACTTCTGGTTGTATCTGTAACACGAATCAAACAATATCAGCACAGCAGAGGGACTGCATCTACCCTGCTCCAATGAAATCTTTACCCAGCACCACATTCCATGTGGAGAAACAAAACACAGAATTCAGGAGAACAGTGACAAAAGCCCTGGTCAATGGCACAGGGTGAGGGTGGGCACAAGCTGGTATATGGAGAGAGGAGGTGCCACGTAAAGAACAGAGCTTTCCCATTTAATCTGAAAGGTCAGAGCAGAGCTGTGCCTGGAAGTGGACAGTTTTCTGGGGGCACAGACATCACCTCTTGCATCTTTGCAAAAGACCTTCATAGCTCTTACTCAGGTTACGAACACTGCTGAAGACCAAAAAAATAATTTAAAAATCCAGGAGGTTGATATGCCCATCACACCTCACGTGAGCAACTCTCTGACCATGACCACATCATAAACCTGCAACATGACTGGGCCTTGGCTACCAGGGGGTTCCTTCAGGAGCCAATTTCTCCAACTGCTCTTGTGGGTTATTGCCCCCATCTGGGCACTGCCCGGGATGCAGACAGGCAGCCTCCTCCACTCTGAGACTGATGGAGGTCAACTGAAGCCGTACTGGGATAATAGCATACATTTACAAATACAAATCAGGATAACAATATCGATATAAGTTTAAATGATAAAGCTCACCCTTTGAAAATATCCTGTAGCTCTCCTAATATGACTGGTTGATTTAATCATGCAAGAATTCAGACCTGCCCTCCCCTAAATTCCTGATGAAAAACCCTTCCTAATACCAAGTGGAACAAATTCTTAAGAAAGGTTCTTTGAATTCAGTAAAGCAAGTCAATCTGCTTGGCATTATTTCAAACACACTTCCTAAAATAAATGGTTGTTTCTATTATTTTATGTTACACAAAAGACTATAAACCAGACTATAAACCAATCTTGCCTCTTTACTGAATTTCACATCCATAAAATATCCTATCATCAGCTGTGGGTAGAGACACCCTGCTCTGTTATTTATCATGTGAGGGTACAGCAGCTGGAGTTGAAAATGCACAACTACACCAGTGCCCTGTAGCTCAGGGAGAGGAAAACCTGCTGCTGGGCAGGGGTATGCTTGGATAAACACTGCAAGAGATGTTTGCTCTCATACTCCTAGATCTGTGGACACCATGGGAAGGAAACGGCTGGAAAAGGGGGAAGATTTTAGAGCCTTTCTTCTCCACGTCCATCTCCTGAAGCAGTCAGGATCCTGCCTTCTCATTCATGGCTCATCCACTGCTGTTGTTCCAGACAGGAGCACTGTCCTCTTTCCAGTGGAACCATGTAACAGTTTAGGTTGGGAGGGAACTTCAGAAGTTATTTAGTCCAGTCAACTGCTTGAAGCAGAGCTTACTTCACAGTAAGATCAGGTTGCTCAGGGCTGTGTCCAGTTGAGTTCTGAGCATCTCCAAGCATGATCTCCTCACACCCTGTCTGGGCAACCTGTTCCAGTGTTTGACCAACCTCATGCAGAAATTCTTCATAATAGCTAACTGAATTTTTCCATGGTACAACTTGTCCTTTCACTGTGCATCTCTCCATCCTCTCTACGCCCTCCCATTACAGAGCTGGAGACAGCCAGAGGGTTCCCCCTCAGCCCTCTCTACTCCAGACTCAAATCAGCCTCCCTGGAGGCCCTCCACTAAACTCACTCCACCATGGGAATGTCTGTCTTGCTTGAGGGACCCCAGCCTTGAGGTCCCACATGTGCTAAACAGAGGAGAATGGTGGCTTCCCTTGATTTGCTGCCTCTTCAAATCTTTTTTGGTACCTGCTCTTGGAAAGGGGGCTATGAAGGCCCCCTGGGAGAGGAAGATGTCTACCCAGCCAAAGCTGCCACACACAGCAGACAACTACTTTGTCCTGAATCTGCATTTTCACTCCATTTGACCTTTTCTCAAGTAATTAGTATTTTAACATTGTTAACCAAGTACTTGTTTATGAAGAACTGTACTTTTATAGAAGTGAGGATTATCTGCTTGAATATCTGTGGTATATTGTACTACTCTTTTTCATAGCAATCATTATGAAGAAGAAATTCCTCCAAAGGAGTTACTGTATTTTAAATAATCAGAAGTGAGGCTTATCTGCTTGAATATCTGTGGTATATCGTACTAATCTTTTTCATAGCAATCATTATGAAGAATACCTCCAAAGGAGTTACTGTATTTTAAATAATAAATAAGTTTACTGGCAGACCATAATATCTGATGCTACCTGCACTATTACCCTACATCTGTCATTGCCCTTTATTGCAGTCTGCGTGCCCAGTTGGGCTGGAGAGATGAATTTTGCTGCTGGTCAGAGGACTTATTTTCCTGCACACGGGTTCCACAGCCTGGCAGGTATTTCTGCTGGAGGCCTGTGCACACACCAAACTAGGAACCAGTTAAAGCAGGAGCTCACAGGCTGACCCAGAGCTACAGACTATTCCTTTCCTTCAGTCCCACAGCAGACCTTCTATACCCAGCCTTGCCTTACACGAGGAGGCTGCATGCTTTCTCCTAATAGAGAAATAAAGAATCTCTAGTGCAACTTTACACTTATCTCAAAACAAGCATGATTTAGTCCCTCTTCTGAAAGTATGCTGTGCAAAATTTAAACAGCTTTATGAGGGTTAGGAATTCACATTACAGCAGGATAAAAAAAAAGACAGAAAGAGAACCTGCTCAGCTTATTTTGCCATCTCCAGCTTGCCTGATGACTAACAGAAATTCCACTTCAGCTTTATTGTTTCTGAATTCTTGAACCAAAGTCACCTCTCGTGTTTCTCTGAAAAATGCCCTTCGGTACCTAAGGCTTCAGTGACCCTCTGGGCCACCTGCCACCATTCCTTTTTGCAATGTATTACTTTGACTGCAGCTCTGGTAACATTCCTCCATGCAGAACTATTGTAGAAATAGACTGGAAACTGGGATGACCCTAACATCTTGAACAGACTGTTCTGTCCATAAAAAAACTGTTTTGCTAACTTGAAGGACTTTTGATTTAAATGCAGTACAGCTTTGGTGATGCAGAAGGCATTTAACACAGTGACTAGACCAGTGTTGGCAGATTATCTATTATCTTGTTTAATCATTTTTCCAGGAATACTCTTCCATTTCTAAGGCACGACACTGTAGATTTCTAAGATGCCACCTGAACTTCACATCATCTTCCCAGTTAATACTTTTATCTTATTTATGCACAGAAACAAATCTTTTTTTTTTTCCCCCAATCATTAACAGGAACTGAATGGATTCTAATGACACAGTAGCCTGGTTGTAACTGATACTGGTTCTGAAAACCAGTAGCCTCTCTCCTTAGCTTTGTCCCAATAAACAACCTGTGAAAACTCTTGATTCCTCAACTGAATTTCCTTTCAACCTAGATCTGATGATCCTGCTTATCGTTTCCACTAATGAAAACAGAACTCCCTTCTGATCTCATGCTTTTCCTTAGAAGCTAAAACCATCTAAACAAAAAAACAAAACAAAACAAAAAAACCCCAACACTCCCCCCCTACCCCACAGAAAAACCAAATGCTAAACAAAAAAAAAAAATCCCCCTTTCATTGCTATCAAGAGTTCTCTTAATCCATGCAGAAAGAAACTGAAGGGGACATATATATATACAAGTCATTGCTACTGTGTGCAATAAGTATGGTTTCACCACAAAGACAGACCTCTCTCATTTTTCCTTTGTACTGCAAATTTTACTGCATATAAAATTCCAGCAATTTGACAAGAGAACAACTCAGAACAACCACTAGAAGAAAAGCAGCCAAACACCCCCTTCACCAGTATCACAGCCACAATCTGGAGGGAAGTGCTTAAATCCTTAACTCTGGTGAGTTACAAAAAGGAAAAAGCTCAAAATAGCACATTTGTAAGGAGAATCTACCCAGTGGGAAGGTGATTTCTTCTTCTATCTCTGAAGGCTCTTTTAGGGAGACTGTCAAAATGAATATAAAAACTTGTATGTTTTTATTGGGGTAGCAGAATAATGTGATGCTCCTTACTAGTCCCATTACCCACTAATATAAATTAAAACTTGGAAATTCTTGCCAGGGTCATACTGCCACTAATATGAGCAATCCAGAAGGCTTAATTTCTTCCCTCTAACTAGAATGAAAGATATTTTCCCTCTCCACAAAATCTGTCTCTCTCATTCTATATAATCTTTTGATTTAAGCAATTTTCAGCTGCTGTCTATTGCATAAATGTACCAATTCTCTGAGAACAAAGGAGGATGACTAACACTAGCACAGTTTTTGAGTATAATTCTCTTAGAACTCCCTCTTTCTATACCCTACACCAGCTATTATGCCTTTAATTAAAAAAAAATAAAAAAAAATTATAACTCTCTTTTGGGGCAAGATTATTGCCCACCTTCTCCATTTTCTGCACTAAAACTAAACATGTTTTTTGAACAGGAACATAATCTTGAATCAGATCTTTTTATAATGAAGTACCAGAACTGAGTGGCAGCTAGGGCTGGATATAGCAATTGGTAATTTAAAACCCCAGACAAATCACGAAGTACACGCTTCTGTTCTTTTACAATGTAATGTCGAGTACACACAATTAGTTTTTTCCTCCCACAGTTACCATTTAAGGTTCCACTCAGCACCAATGAGTGGCACCAGATGTCAAAGAAGGCTTAAAAATCAAATTATGGACTCAAGAATTACCAACTGAGATTAAAACCACTATCTCAAAGTTGCAGAATTTCATAAATTAAAGGCCGCTACTGTGAACCTTATTTTGATTCAAGTGAGGGTAACAATAAATCTGTGTATGAATATAAAACACAAAAAGTGAAAACCAATATTGGAGGCTACACAGCTGAACTGTGATAAAATGCACAATCTCAAACCCATTCACATTCTCGCAGAATACCATTTAAAGGGTTTGCTTTGGAGGGTCTCCAGAGAAAACAGCAATAACTAGGAGTTTAGCTGTGAAGCTTACAGTGTGGTATGTTAATTTTAGAAGAGACAGACGTACATACTGCTTTACAACTGTTTGCTATCAGACTCGCAGTCTTCTTAAAAGTCTTCTCGAGGTAGTGAGCAAATCTCTCATTCTCGTTCTCCTTGGAACCCAACTGGAGGAATTCACCTAAAGAGTTGAACAGATGGGAGTTTTTATTTGTGGGTTAACTGCTTAGGCAAGCAAATCTGAAGATAAAAACAGAAAAAGATCTTACCACGCACCAGATCTTCAATCACCTGAGTTAGAACAGAGATGATAGTAGTGTTTCCAATTCGCGCTAAAGCTACGGAAGCAGCTGAGAGGATGAAGTCACCAGCTAAAACAGCCTAAGAATAAAAGAAAAATTGATCTTTTAAGTCTTTTCCTGTAAGTGTAAGTTCAGACAATAATACCATTTCCTTTATTTGGCAGGTCTACACACATCACATCATTTTCCTACATAAACCACATGTATCTCATTGTAACAGAGAGAAAACAGAAGATAACCACATATTAACATTTGAACCATTTTTGAATCCCTGTCTTACAGTGCTGTTTCTATTTTTCTGTATAAGCATTGTCCTCCCTGTATGCAATGTCTGAACATGTGTTTGCCTGACAAGTTTTCTGAACATTACCTCTCTATTTGACCATTCTGCTGTGACTGTTGTGCCGTGTTAGCTCTGAATGCTCATAAGTTGTGATGTGTCAGCAGTGCACTTCTTTCCTTGCACTTACTGACTGAGACCTTCCTTTTAATGCTTTCTGAAGAAACACGTCTCAAAAAAATCAAAAAAATGTTCACACTGACTGAAAACTTCTTTTGTGTTTCCTACTGAATCAAAGTAACATATAGTGTTCTGGATAAGGTAGAAGTTCAAAGTATTCCAACAGCACTGCAGAGAATGGCACAGGGAACATAAAGTCAGTAATTATCACACTACAAGCATACATTATCCAATGCTTCCAGCAGTTCAGAAAAGGAACACACATTTGTCTTACCCACAATCTGTGCACACCTCTTCATACTTTTCCTGGCATATCACAAGACTGTGCCTAGGGATAGTAATGTGACAAAAACCCTAGGTATTTGTCCTCTGCTGAAACTCCAAGGCAAGTCTTGCACATAACAGCAAACTCACCTTCCTCTCTCCCCAAATTTGATTGACTGTCATCTTTCCTCTGCGAGAATTTGCATCATCAATAACATCATCATGAACTAGGCTAGCTGTGTGGATCATCTCAGCAATTATGGCCACAGAGCGCTGGCTTGCTTGCACCTCCCTAAAACAAAAAACAAGAACTGTCAAATAACTAAATCAATAATATGTGCTGCAATGAACTAAAAGAAATCTCAATTAAAACACACACAAAAAAGTATGTTTCTCTGAAAACAGCTGATGCAGCTTTTCCATGGTCTGAACCCCATCTTTCAAACCTGGAATTAGGAAGACAAGAGAAAGTGAACATCAAGTTAGTACAGTAAGTGCAATGGGATGTTTCCATCCTTATTAGGCCATTTCTGCTTTGCTGCATTAACTACTGCAAAACTCCCCAGTTATTGACTCTAATCCCTCTAAATCCACGCTGCAATAAATAGCACAGCACGAGGGATGGTTGGTTCCAAGGAGATGGAAATCTGGAAAATGGCAGAGAAAAGAATGCCAGGTAGCTTTGGAAATGAGTTTTAAGTTTTCCTTATCTCTGTGCTGCTCTACCTCTAAGACCATCATAAATTCTCCACAGCAAGCTAACTGTAGGCTGGAGAGATCAGCAGGCACAGAAATCTGTATTCTACATCTGAAAGACAATAACTCATGGATCTTATCCTTTTTGTTATCTGATTACCTTAAGATCTCTGAGGTTCTTCAAAAGCCTGAGGAATTATCTGGAATTATACTGCAATCTCTTTAGGACTGTAAACACTAACTACCTAACACTTACTGAAATTCAGCCTCTGGGAACATCTAACACTGATGATTCAACTCTCAGTAGCTCACACCTACTTTATTTTTTAAACTAGGTGAAAAGAAGGTAATGGAAGAAGATAGAAGCAATCATCTAGGGAACAAAGTTGGCAACATGAATATCAAAGTGCCAACCTACCTCACACAAAGGGCCATCTACCCTAGTATTCAACTGCCACTGCCTTGTTCTAGTATTTATCTTTTTCTATCTGTTTTCATCCTGAGTTGCATGCAGGATCCCAGAAATGGCTATCCCAGCCAGCCTTGCCTTATAGCTGTAACAAGCCCACATGGACATTAAAAAATCCAAACCAACCCAGGAAAAGAAAAAAACCTAAACCAATAATCAAAAAAATCCAACAAAATTACTTCTGATATAAAAATACCTTTCTTCTGGTATACAGATAAGACAGCAAATCACACTATTTTTCAGCAGGACCAGAAAAAAACCTGAGAGAAACAGACAACGATAATTTCAGCTCAGCTGAAGGGAACTTAAAATCTTCTTACATTGCCTATATCTGTTAAAATTTATTGATTAATCACAAAATGAAAGAACATCTTGCAGTCTGCTGACATACCATTGCGTTCTGACACCTACCCCTGTGCAGAACCCTGCAATGCTGTCAGTGGGAGTTCTGCATCCTGAACAATAGCAGGATGTGTGGCTCATGGGCTGTGAAAGTCTTGGTTTTAAACAGCAGAAAATAAGAGCTGGAAACCTTCACGGTTGTATGAAGGTAAGTTCTACTGTGGACTAGTAATTTAGTCAAATGCTAGTTCAGTGTAAGTAGTTTTCCAAAGTAAACTATTGGTTCTAAGTAGAAGAACTTACCTTCAAAAAACTGTAAAGGTCTCCAGCCTCTTTCATGCACTGGTCTCCTTTTGGGGACTCCCTTTTTCATTAATTATGTCAGCAGACTGGACTTCCTGCTGGGGAAGTAGCAGCAAATGGCAACACTCACCGACACGCCAGAATCTTTCAGCAGTATGAAGATAGCACAAGGACAGACATTTCAAAAGTAGGTTTTGAAAAGTTCTGCATTATAGTGCACTTCATCTCTGACAATGACTAAAAATGGCATAGGAATGCTCATGGTTCATGTGTCTGGTTCCCAGAATGTTGTATCAAGCACAATAATTTAACCTGAAAGGGGTTTTTTATACTACTATTTCTGTGAGGTCTCAAGCAAGGTTCTTCCCATCGCTGGCAAAAAATTTTGCAATAGTGTTCTACAAACATCTTGTGAGAGCAATTCTGAAACAGAGCATGTCTATTTTAGGGGAAACACACAAGAAACAGGATCCTTCTCATTCCCTGCAATTTTTCATTCTGCTTCGCCTGCAAAACAAAAGCAAAAAGTAGCAGTAACTCAAGTCAATAGATAACTGGGTCCCCACAAGCCCAGTAAGTGGAAAGATGCCATTTTTAGGTCATTCTCAAAGTAAAGGCACCCCAAGATGATATATATTTACACAAAGATTTTACACAACTGTAAGTTTCTCTTTTTACACATGCATTATATTAATTTTTTAAGTCCTTGATCATGTTCTATTTTTCAGTAGGACCCCCTGCTTTCCTAGACCTACAGTACCCTAAAGTCTTCCCCATTACAGAACTTGTTTCATGTACACTGAATGAAACCAAGGCTGAGCTTACAGGTTAAGAAAAAACCCAAGCACACCTCTCCCTCCAAATATCCCTCTTAAAAAAAACAAAAGCAAAACCAAAAAAACCCAAACAAACAAGAAAAAAAAAGGAGCAGGGAAAACTGAAACAACACAAAACGCTATTTACACTTTGCAACAAAGAGCTTTGCAATGTGTTTGCCAGGAAGTAAATATTGCCAGTTTAAAGACAGGAAACATGCAAAAGAACTTGCAAAATTTCTGTGTTATGACCACACTCCTCAAAGTACGTTTTTGCTGCTAAATCCCCATGGCTGAAAGAAAGGAACATTTCAGAAGCACAGTTTGTGACACAGCAGGGCACTACAAAACTAGGGGAAGCACAGAGAATGGATGTGTTAACAGGGGAGCAAATTACAGAAAAGCTGAAAAACAGCTACAGTACAGGCATCTGACAACCATGGTTTGGAGGAGTGAAAGAAAGAGGACTATGTTTGCCAGCAGGTCCTCATGTCTTTAGGAAATATTATTCTACTGAGTTTAGACAGGTTATTATATTTAAGTATTTCTTGCACTATTCTCATGAATTTATTTTCCTTTTCACCCCTAAATCTTTTGTGCTCGCTATTCTCTCTATTGAGATGTCTCTGTACTTCTTTGACCTTCTCTTATTTGTTTGTCTCTCTCATTTTGGTTGCAGAAATAGAAATAAAAACTCCTATTTGCAAACACCTCTGGAGAATGCACCCTGAACAGACACATTAGGTCCAGTCAGGCTAAGTGATAATTCTGTGAAATTCTGCACACTGTTATGTGGAGAAATGCCAGTGGATGTGTGAAATTGAGGGTTTGCATGACCTCAGCTTAAACTCTTTACAACAATTCTCACTCTTGAACAAAGCTAAATTGCTATCATTAAGCAAAAAGGCATTGCTCAAGTGACCTAAGGACTCAGGGTTGGAATTCCAACACTTCAAGGGAAAAAACCCAACATACCAGCACAGAATAATTTGAATGCTTCAGGCACTTATTTTTTTAATAATAGTTCAGATTCTTTATACAATTGTCATTCTCCTTATTATGACTGCAATAAAGTGACCTCACTCTAGAAAGACAGTTAACCTGCTGAGGGCTGTCTAAATATCTAGCCTTCCTCAAATTTAAACATAAACACTCATGTCATCTAACCTGTAAGAAGAACTACCTGGGTGTTCCCCTCCATTCACTTGAGAAGTCTCAGCTATTCTGCTGGGGGTCTGTGAAGACAGAGAGGTCTCTGTGGACTGCCTCTTAAGACCCAAACCTATAACAAAGTTGTGTCCTGTTATTTTAACAGCCAAACAAGGAAGTGTATTACCTTTTTTTACTAATATTGCACAAAATGAAAAGGGAAAAAACCAGCCCAAACCAACAGATTAAAGAACAGGCAAAAGCATGCTGGGTCCAGCGAGTTATATGACAGTTGAGAACGGCAGCAAGATGAAGCAGAAACTCAACATCGGTAACAGAAACCCCAGAGGAGGAATGAAAAAAACGCTAGGGATGAAGAGCACAGGATATTGGCTCACCCTACAAGTCTACAGATGTTGTGGCCAGTATCTTTGATTACATGTGTGGGAACCAAAGCTTCAACAAAGAAAAACAAGTCTGGGAGAAGAATCAATATTAACTGAGGAAAGGAACACTAAAATGCTTTAAGGGAAATGGCAAATTTAAAGAAGAAAAATGTATTAAAATAAAAAAGTCAAGAGAAGCAGAATGGAAAGCAAGCATTTTTTTTCCACCGGGTCTATAGCAGAGTAGCAGAATTACAAATATGCAAGTGTTTCCTTCTCTACACAAGGGAAGAGGAGAGAAATTGTGAGGAAAACAAACAGTAAAAAGCTGGAAGAATTTGTCACCTGGAAGCAATGCTGCTTTAATAAGGAATTTCATATACAGTATCAGTGTGAACTGGAACTCAAAGCAGGTGTAACACAGGTAACACAGCCTGCTTCAAGAAGCTTAAAAGCAAAAGAGAAGAAAATGCCTACAAAACTTCATCAGTGCACAACAAGCAGGTATCCACGATATGAAGAGATATTCTGTTGGCATGGCCTACCCAAGCCTCAAAAGAGATTGGTCATCATGCATGAACCAAAAAGCAGTACACTGAAGACTTGTATAAACATATATGAACTTTAACTACAAATACAGGCTTAGAGAAAAGTGTCATGAGGCAAAGAAGGCGGTGGTAAATATCCTGGGATTTCATTCTCTTCCTTGGATGAAACATTTCTGTTCTCCCTACTGAGAATTCCATTCGAAAAACAACATGACGGAGACAGTGACTCAGTCTGTCCTCATACAAGGAACGTTCAGATTAATGAGGAGGCTTTTAAACATCACACATAGTTTGGAGGTGCTGACAAAAGCTGCAACAGATGTACAAAAGCTGCCAAATGACTCAGGCATCTACAAATCAGAGGGCTTGTGCTGAGGGTTGGTTACTGGGAAGCAAACACTTGCCTCAGGCATATGTGGCACTTGAACTCTGACATCCCACTTTCTCACTGGTATAGGGCAGGTCTCTAAACTGGTTTCAAGACAGCGTAAGGCATGGACAAGAATGTGTCCATGAGCATACACATATGTCAAAAGGCAGCAAACGTGCTTTCACCATATAAAGGCAAATTCAGTTCTTTCTACAGCTACTTCTTGTCTTTGATTCATTGCTCACCTCCTACACTGTATGACATCAATTCCAGCCTTCTCGGTATTGCATGTACACTACATAATTCATTCATAAGCTTCTCGTGCTACACACTAGAATGAGATAAAACTATTTTTCCCATTATTCTGACTAGAAGGATGCTCCAAAAAACTCACTGCCCCAGTTGTTAAAAGTTTCCTCCTAAGTTTCCACTTTCACAGCAAATTCGTCCTTCATCTTAAACAGCTCTTTCACCACTGCTCCTGATAAATTTGTAGACCGCAAGTCCTTCATTCTCCCTGATAATCTCTGCAGTCCACCCCTGAAGTGAGCTGGACTTGCCTTTTTTTGAACATGAGGATCAGACATGCTGACGATTTCACAAAGTGCGATACACAAAGCTATCAGCACTCCTGTAGCTGCACTGGATATACTGTGGTTGACCCATCCTAAGATTACTTTAGAGAAGGTGGCTGCAAATGACATTGGGGTTATGTCCTGACAGGACACCCACACGCCTCCTAGCTCAAGCAGAAATTTTTGTTTTGTTGTGCTTCCTTTCATTCCACCACAAATGGCCAGTCATCAAGAATGATTTTGTCACTGAGAAGTGCCATCATCACACTCATCACTTTTTATGTCAAGTTCTCTCATGAAAATATTATGTCAATCAGTGCTGTGACAAAGGACACCCTTGAGGGGTTTCACAACTGATTGTTCTTTTCGCTACGTCTAAGACAATGACAAGCAGCAACACTGAATGGAGAACAGAACCAGGCTGGAGTGAAGTTCATTAATCCTGGACAATGTTACCCTAAGACAAGAGGAATTGGCACACACAGGACAGGCCCCTGCCAACTAGGTTTTGCTTTCTCCTTCAAAATTATAATCACGTAGGAGGGAGTATACCAGAAGAGGTACCACATCAAGCAGCAAAATAAATGCCATGTTCTGAGGTAGAAACCAAGTCCAAGAAGGCATTAACCTACCGCTAAGGAGAAAATGATGCAAGGGCTGAGAGAAATCCTTTAAGACAGATAAATTAGTCTAGAAACACTTCTGGCAAGGGTCCAAAGATGTCATATTTGAAATCCTATGCGAGGGAAGACTGGAAGCGTAGCTGGAAGGCAAAGAACACTCCAGCCAACATCTTTCCTCAAAATGCTAAGATAAGAACATGTGGAGAGAAGCATTTGCAATTAGCCAGAGCAAGGAGTGATAAAGTGTACAGGGCGAGCATAATGTTCTGCTCAATTAGAACTGTTTCAAAAGACAAGTAACTTTAAGATTGTGAGGATTACACCAGCTCTGAGCCTAGAATCTTACATTAAGGTGTAAAAACTTGCTCCTAGAAAGGCTAAAAATAAATAAATAAATAATCTCTGACTCTTTTGAATGTCTGCTTTAAGCTGGCTTTTCTGCATAATTACAAAAAAAGCTATGAAAGTATCTTCTTGCAGCAAGCTTCTTACCTGTGACAAGAGTTTAACAGCTACAGGATTGGTTAAAACTGACAAATATTTTCAACTAACTTCATATAGTTTCAAGAAGCATCAAAGATTCTAATAAAGCATTTATGTAAGCAGCTAAAATTGACTAAAAACCTTACAAATATCACAATTTGGTAACATTGTTTATCCATCACCAGTTACAACTTCAGTATAGTCCACAATTTTACACATGGAAGCATGTAATAAACCCAGCAGTTCCTTTTTGCACTGCTAACTACAAAAATACAGCTTCACAATGGGACTAAAATTCAGGTTTTATTGAAAAGCTTTTTATTTTCAAGAAGTTACTAGCCATATGTTTTGGGATCTGAAGAATGATAAATTTCAAGTACAATATGTCCATTTATCTTAAAGTGACCAACTCACCTGGAATTATTATGGTGAATGTTGCAAGCCCTTGCCATTAGCACCACAATCATTGGTCGAAAGGCCTTTCCTTTCCCATCAAAGTAATAATCACACATTTCCTTAAGTTCTGCTGTAGATACAAGTAATTCCTATAAAAAGGAAAAACCATATCTGCATAAAAGTCACAAAGCCAATCTGTTTCGTGTAAGCAAAACCATATGCATGTATAAGGTTATTGCCTGTATTCATTCCACCCAACGTAAGCTGACGTTGTTTTTAAAATTACTCTGAGTATTCTGAAGCATAAGTGGATGTATTCCAGCACTGTAAATCAGCAGGAAAAAAACCCTGAATTCTGGTTCTATAAAATATGTAGAAATGCTCTCTTTACCTTCAGTTTCAGACAGCTGTTCATAAAGAACATTCTTTCAATAACTATCCTCCAAAGTAAAGGTTGCTATTAAAATCAGAATCATTGCAAGATCCCAGAAAAGTCACCAAAATCCCTTACCTTTTTAATATCTTCATAGAGATTCTTCAAGTCTTTTCTACCAAGTTGAAAAGGATCTTGGTATTTTTCATCACTAGCTGTCTTACTGCAGCTGCACAAGTGGGATGTACTTGTATGATGAAACCTGGTGACAGTGTTTTTCAAGAGAGTAACATTGTTAGAAGCAAACTTTCCCTGATTCCCCAAACAGAATCAAAGCATTTCCTCCTCCTCTCCCCTTACGCAAAATTTAACCAAATGGCTAAAATAGAAGCATAAGGCACCAAACCACTCTTTTCAGCCAGCTAACAAGGTGCAAGGACAGTGCAGCTATGTATTGATGATCATAGACTTTTAGGAGCTGGCAAAGCACAGCATTTGGCAAACAATAACCCCCCTCACCCTTAACAGATTACAGAAGTCTTCTGAGACACATAAAACATGTATTCCTTTTAAATACACATCTCAATGAATTCCTTTTGAATACGCTCTTGATGGTGTAGCGTACATTTGGAGATAAAGCCTTCATCTTCCAGTAAGACAATTACTCTGTTACTTTTTTCCCATCTCCTGTACACTCCTGCAAAAATATTCCTGACTTGGATCTGAAAATTTCCTTTTGGGCACCCAGCTACCTTATAAATTATAAATACTTCCAGGTAGCATGATCATGCTATGAAAGTTCATCAGTAAAGGGTGAAAGCTCCACCTGGATGCATTAAGATGCATTAGTTTTACATTCCCTAGAGCTGAAGTTTATGCTTCTTTTTGTTTCCTTTTTCAAAATGCGTTTTCTCAGGGTATTCTTGCTTTGCCCATTGCTCTCCAGGATGGAGGACTCAGATGCAGACTCAGCACCACAGCAGCAGTCGACATAGCATTATCCAACTATGTACTACAGCGAATAACCTTATTTTCAAAGTTTACAGCTCACAGGTGTAACTACCCAGTTCACCCAATAACTAGGCTTTTACCCCTTAAGCAACAATATGAGTCTCCAACTTACCGCCAAAATATATTACATATTTTTGGAAATGACAAAGTTGAACTTCTTTGGGTAAAGTGACACATCTGCACAATGAAAAATGAGTGTTAATTTAATAGAACTTTAAACTGACAGATAACATTTGATCACAAAAACAAGTTCATCAGCACTGCTCTATTTCTCCATTTTAACAACCCAGCAGCAAAGGGAGTCTCATAATTTCCTTCCATATCACGTGAGACATAACTGCCAACATGTCCATTAGCTCCTGACTTTAACTGACTCTTCAGCTCAGGAGTGCTGGACTTTCTCCCCTTGCAGGACCAGCCCAGACGGCGTATCAGTTAACTTCCCAGAACTGCTCTGATGAAATCTTGCCTTTGCACTTGTGGAAGGTGCAATTTTCAAATGCTCCCCGTCTTGCAGATAAATCTGACTGCACCAGTCAAGCCACAGAAGAAAGGACGAACACTGTTTCCTTACACTACCTACCCTGTTTTCCCCTGAATCAATTTTAATTCAGCTTGCTACTGGTGGCAATGTACACCTGCACATCTTCCCTGCTAGATGTCAAGAACCTAACCTTCAAACCTAGGAATCTCTCCAATGACCTCCTCCTGCAGACAGGGTGCAGAAGCCTGGGGGAAGGCGCAGTCCCAGGTACACGATTCCAGCAGAGATAGGCTGAGAAAGGAAACGCACCTTGTGCTCCACTCTTGGTATCGCTGCCAAGATCTACCCAGCCCTGCCCTGGAGTGCACACTGACTCAGAGGCCAGGGTTAACCCAGCCCAAAATCACTGCAATCCACATGTTCACCAAAATGCCTCTCCAAAAGCCCACACAGAAACACTCAAGGAGACCTAGGTCTGGAGAAGAGTTCTCCCAACTTGCTCCTTATGCCTCAGTGTCTCCTTGCACATGGCTTGAAGACTCTCTGTCCTTGGACACAAGGAGAGAAACAAGAGCACTGCACGGGCTCCAGGGCGCCCTTCCATCCTCCTTGTGTACAGGATGAAAAAAGGCCAGGAAAGGAGACAAGGGAAGAAGAGGAACCCTAACTTGTAACAGATTTGCAGCTCACTGCTCTTTGACTTCAGTGCTCAGTCCTATGGCTCAGACCTTTGTAAGTTTGCTCTCTCAAACCTCTCACAGTTTTCTGTTGTGAAAAAAATAGCTGATCTCTTCCCATTCTTCCTCTGGTGAGGGCAGAGAGAGACTCTCCTCTCCTTTACACTGCTGCTTAACACTGGCTCGTACACGTAAGACTGGCTCGCGCACGATGCTGGACAAATCGCAGCCAGAACAATTTACTGCTGGTCAGGACAGCGGCCTATGAGAGGACCTGTCCCCCATACATCTCACAGCGCTAAACCCACACACAAACACCTCGAAAATACCACACGAATGAGAACCCTTTCCCCGCTCCCACCTAGAGAAGGCACCGAGAGGTTCTTCCCCACAGCAGGAACCCTGAAAACCCCATAACCAGCATTTCACCTTGCACCGAGAGCGCTCCTGCCCCCTGCAAGCCGCCCCCCTCGCCTCCCCTCCCGGCCGGGGAGCTGCCCCCCCCCCCCCCCCCCGCCCCAAGAAAAAAAAAAGCCCACCTTGGAATGGGGCTTCAGCCTTCCATTAGCTAAATCCTGCTGGAGCGAGCACGGCGTTACGTGGAGGTTCAGGGGCCGGCCAGGAGGCTGCTGGAAAACAGCCGTCCTTCGGGGGCCCCCCCTTCGCCTGGCCCTTCCTCACCTCGCCTCACGCCGCTCCCTCGGGGCGCCAAGCAAGGCTGAGGGCCGGCAGGGGGAGCGGCGCCGCCGCTTGGCGGAGCTCGGCCCGGCCTCCGTGCCCGGCTGCGGGACAGGGCGGGGGCCGCCGCCCCTCAGCGGGAAGGCGGCCGTGGCAGCCGGCCCGGCGGGCGTGTGGGGCGGCCCCGGTCAGCGCAGGCTTCAGCCAGAGCCGCTCCGTCCCTCCCGCTCGGAGGAAGCAGCGTCTCTCCCCTCAGAGCTCTGTGAAGAGTTAAGGCTTTTTCTGAGGGAAAGGAGACCTTAGGTGACGCGGAGAAGGCGACTCCTGGGTGACATGTGGTGGCCCGTCTGGCTGGCCGCCTACCTGGCCTGGGCCTGTGGGGCCGGGCGGCCGCCCCCGCTGTGCGCCGCCGGCGGGTTCTGCCCGGCTCCGCTCGGCCCCAACGCCTCCCTGCCCGAGCCGGGCCAATGCCGGCCGTGGCGGGGGGGGACCGACCTGTGCGCCTGGTCCCTCGGCTCCCACAGCCTCCGAGGTACGGCCCGACCGGACCCGGACCCCGACCCGCGGTGTAGCAGCTGCTAAAGCGATAAGGGAACACCTTACATACACTGCCAATACTTACTAATTTTAAAATTAAAACTAGATTGGCCGTAAGAAGCTTTGTCTCTCCTCTCCATTTATCTTTTCTGTTCCTCATCTCTTCTCTTTTCCTTCTCTTTTTCGCTTCTCTTCTCTTTCTCTGCTCTCCGTTACTTCTCTTTTTCTTCTCTTCCTCTCCTTCTCTTCCTCTCCTTCTCTTTCTGTTCTCTTTCTCTTCTCTTTCTGTTCTCTTCCTCTCCTTCTTTCTCTTCTCTTCCTCCTTATTCTTTCTCTTCTCTTTCTCTTCTCTTCCCCTCCTTCTCTTTCCGTTCTCTTCCTCCTCTTCCTCTCCTTCTTCTCTTTCTGTTCTCCTTTTTCTTCTCTTCCTCTCCTTCTCTTCCTCTCCTTCTCTTTCTGTTCTCTTTCTCTTCTCTTTCTGTTCTCTTCCTCTCCTTCTTTCTCTTCTCTTCCTCCTTATTCTTTCTCTTCTCTTTCTCTTCTCTTCCCCTCCTTCTCTTTCCGTTCTCTTCCTCCTCTTCCTCTCCTTCTTCTCTTTCTGTTCTCTTCCTCTCATTCTCTTCCTCTCCTTCTTCTCTTTCTTCTCTTTCTGTTCTCTTTCTCTTCCTCTCCTTCTCTTTCTCTTCTCTTTCTCTTCCTCTCCTTCTCTTTCTCTTCTCTTTCTCTTCCTCTCCTTCTCTTTCTCTTCTCTTTCTCTTCCTCTCCTTCTCTTTCTCTTCTCTTTCTCTTCCTCTCCTTCTCTTTCTCTTCTCTTTCTCTTCCTCTCCTTCTCTTTCTCTTCTCTTTCTCTTCTCTTCCTCTCCTTCTTCTTTCTCTTCTCCTTCTCTTCTCTTCCTTTCCTTCTTCCTTTCTTTTCAACTCATTGTAATAGAGAGACATTCGAGTCCCAATTACATGTTAATGCAAAATTGATAGCCTGACGCTGGATTTGAAGCGGTGTAGCTCTCGGGCATATGGAGTTGCCTGTAATAATAAGGATAATTTATATGATAACATTACAGAAATAATTTCTTCGGGTGATACAATTACTTGCAACCATTAAGAAATCATAATCAGTGATAAATCTTGTGGCAGCTGGCAATAACAGGATTTGTCATTAAGGTATTGAGAAACCTGGCTAACAGTCTCCAGAGATGCTAACTAACTTGGAATTTTGCAAAACATTGACTATGAGGCACCAGGATTTTATAACGAACATAGAATTGTAAGATTGTTGCAAGCAAAAATCCATAAAAATGTTAAACCACGCAGTATTAATGCAGTGTTTTAAAACAGTGTTTGTCCTCTGTTACCACGGATCAGGGTGCAGAGGAGCTCTGAGGGAAGAATGAAGCACATCTTTTGAGTACATATGTTATGCTACAGCAAGGAATGCGTCTTCTGACCCTTTCATTCGCTGTTTACGTTACTCAGAGAAGACTTCAAGCTGGTTCCTTAGGTTACTTGGTGATCGTCGCTGCATATGGACTGTGTACCACGGTTACTGGTGCACAGGGACTTCATCTGCTGCGCTACGCCGTTCAGCTGTGAGGGCAGCTCAACTCTTCTGTCTCATGCAAATATCTCTTAGGGTTGCATGTAATTGAGTGCAGTATAAAGCTACCCTGTTCTAATCACAATTAATTGAAACTATATTCAACGTTTTAGATCTTAAAACCAGCACGCCCTACCAGTTTCTTAAACTGCAGAATTTAATCCATCTTTTGAAAAATCCCAAACAGAATAAAATCCTGCATTTATTTGGGCTTGCTTTTCATGCACCAGCACGCCCTACCAGTTTCTTTAACTGCAGAATTTAATCCATCTTTTGAAAAATCCCAAACAGAATAAAATCCTGCATTTATTTGGGCTTGCTTTTCATGCAGGCTTAATATACATCGTGGAAAAGAGTCGGGTTTTAGTTGTTTCTGAAGTATTTTGATTGGATTTAAGAGGAAAGGTATTAAGAATAATATGATTAGTTGTTTTTTAAAAACGTTTATTGTCTGTTTCATGTTTACAGATCCTTTTCCAGTTGATGTGATCCAGGAAAATTATGTCCGTAATGTGAGAAACTGTATTTTTTCAATTGTCTATCCTACACCTTTTAAATCCAGAGTTCGTCTTGTAGCTGTTTCAAAGGTTGGCTATTATTTTTTTGTTCCTCTCTACTTAGTAGGGATTGCCAATACATGTACTAAGATATATTTAATATCCATATGCTATTTATTGTGAAAGCATCTTATCAATATATAAACAACTAGATCATTTAAAACATATTGTGAGATGTCTTTTAATAATGAAATCTGCAGAGAAAACACATTAGTTACCACTGAAAATTTGGTCATATTCAAGTACCATCTGTATTATTTTTTTTTTCTCCAGGAAGTTCTTGAAAATATTTTGGATCTTGATATATCTGTCACAGGAACATCTGATTTTCTTCAGTTCGTCAGTGGTGGGAGAGTGATAGTTGGGTCTGTTCCATTGGCCCATAGATATGGGGGCCATCAGGTAACTAATTCCACCTGTAAGGACAAGTGTTTTGTAGGTCTTTTCATGTGAAAAGGTAGCAGCACCTTGGTAATACCTGTAAGTGTATGAATGTATGCCTGTAAGTGTATGAACACTTAGGAACAATTTGATTGCAGATTTGTTCTTCATAAGGGGCTGCAGATGGAGAGAACTATAATATTCTTTCACAGCACCATGTCTGCTTTCTCTGCTGCTGATGACACCAGAAGCAAATCTTTTTAATTTCCATTAGCTGTGGAGTCTGCTCAGCACCCCTGCAGCCTGACAGTCTCTGATTCATGATAGGTGGTGTTGGCTCAGAGGAGTGAAAAAGGACAGAGCCTCACTGCAACACCGTGATGACTAAGAGTTAAGTTTTGTTGAAGTGGGCAAAATTATTCATGGAAAAGAATGGTAGAATTTGATTTGTAGTTTCCAATTAGAAAAAAAAATAAATTACAGGCTGTGTCACTTTAAAGGCTCGTTATACAGAAGAGTCAGGGCTGTAGCTGTACCTCATAGCTGGAAGGTAAAGGAAAAAAAATGGGGCTTACTGGTGTTATTCTTTTTCTCTAGTTTTCTGATTCATTATTAGTGGGAGTGTGGAAATACAGCTCTAGGGATCAATGTCTTGACGACTACCTGAGCAAATGTGTCATTATATTGTGTAGGTCACAGAGAACATGTAATTTATACTGTTTCAAGTGTAACTGCTATAAACGATTGAAGAAAATAACTTGCTTTTTATTTTTGTCAGTTTGGTGTCTGGGCAGGTCAGCTGGGTGATGGAAGAGCCCACTTGATTGGAGTGTATACAAACAGGTGTGACATTTTTTTAAGCGACGGATTCAGCTCTGCTTTCTGTTTAGCTGCTTCATGCACAACCTGAAGTGTGCTGTTAGAAATGCTAATGGTATTTTTGCAGGCATGGTGAGAGGTGGGAGCTACAGTTAAAAGGGTCAGGAAAGACCCCATACTCCAGGTAAGTTGCAGTTAATCTACGTACACCAAAACCTGGATGTTTTCTTTTTGAAATTTGCGTTGATTTTATGACCTTTTCCTTATTTTTCTGTCCTTTGTAGGAATGGCGATGGAAGAGCTGTGCTTCGCTCTTCTGTGCGAGAATTTTTGTGTAGTGAGGCCATGTACTATCTTGGAATTCCTACAAGCAGAGCTGCTAGGTATTTTTCTTTTCTTTTTCACAACATCCTAAATTTACAGGTAATTTTGTGACAGAGTTACACTGAGCATCAATAAAGCAAGACAGTTAATTTCCAAGAGGGTAGATCTTTCTTTTCATATCTATGCAATCAGAATAAAATATATCCCTCCAGTTTCATAGTTTTGGGATAAAACTTTCCAGTAATAATGAGCTCCAGCAATTAATCTGTTCACTTTTGCTTTGGTATGCTTTAAAGTGCTAATCTTTTTAAATACGATATTGTGTACTGTCTGTGTCTTGCAGTGAACAGCTGTCTTTCATTTGTAAGACTGTCTTAACTGAATTACCCTAATTTGAAATCTGGTTCATTTTGTAAAGAGAGTAAAAAATAGAAGTTAGATTGAGTGATTATACCTGACACTAACTCCCCTCGCCAGCTTTTATGAAATTGCAATCAAGAATTTATTCTCTTTAACAAAATAATAAACTGTTCTCTCCCTTGTTGCTCACCAAAAGACTTGTAAAAACAGCAGGATTAGATTTCTGCCCTGTAAATAATAATAATTAATACCTTTAGTGTATGTTGATAATCAATGAGTCTATTAGTACATATTACATGGTCAACAAATGAGTCTTCTATTACACTAAAGTTAAGCATTTGGATGAGTCTTTCAAGAATCAGGCCAAGTAGGAAAATGTTGAGAGTGGCTATTTCTGTATTGGTCAGAGTCGCCCAGTCACAATTTTTAAGATTGGTAAGAAAAATTGTCAGATGAATATACATTAATATTGGAGATAGTACTGTATGTAGGTAATTGCTCCTCAATTCCTTATTTGTGGAAACACTGCAACTTGTGCAACTGCATTTGTGCAAAACTCTGCAAAGCAGAGAGGGAGAATTCGTAAAAACATAATTTAAAACTAATTCTGTTTGAACCAAAGAAGACTAATACATTCACTCATTTGGATGAATTTCTCAGAGTTAAGTAAACTGAATTTTTCAGATGATCGTGTTTAAAATGTCAAGTTCATTTTGTCTTCCAAGTGGTCTCATGTCTGCACTCCAGCATTTCAGGCTTTAAATGAAGTAAATGTTCTGCAGAAAAGGCCTGTACTCAGGTGCCACATGGCTGGGTGTCTGTATTTGCAAAGTGTCTGCAGCTCTCCCTAGCATTAATTCTAACACATTTGCTCTGTTGAAGTGCAGTGTTCGTAATTGACAGTTTTGATGGTTTATTCACTGACTTCACCTTGAGACCCTTTGCTGTTGGCTGCTAATGCAGAACTTTAAATCTGTCTCAATGTCAGCAGGAAGGCATCTGGCAAGGTTATAGCCTTTCTTTGTTGTCGTCTCAACAAATTGTTCAGTGCAACAACAATATGAAATTACTCCTTAACTGTGCAAAAAATTCTGTTGAGTACACAGCGTGCTGTAGTTCTCTGCTGGCAAATTGGTTAAATGCCTGGCTTTCTTAACTGCTGTACAGGCTCTGCAGACTGTTTGCAAGGCTTCATTTGGAAAATCCCCAGCTGATACCCATATTCTTCCCCATGGGGAGCTGTTGCACTGACGCTGGTGGGATGCTCTAACAGAGGTCATGTCAAGTCTTGGCAGAAGTGTGGGGAAAAGCCTTTACAGCTCGTTCCAGAACAGCCAGCGGGTTGGTTTGCTCTGTTAATTTTAAGTACTGTGTTCCCAATGGGGTGCTGTGGTTTACGACTGTACTGCCAGATAAAGGACGCTTCTTCATATGGTACCATTTTAATCACATACTGAGACTACCAGTGAGCATTCGTTCAAAATGGTGAGCCAGTCTGCATAGTTTTCAGAGTTGGCCCTTTCTTGCAGAGGGCTTGAAGTTCCTGCAAAACAGCAAGTGGAGTACTTGGGAGTGTAGAGTCCAGCCCTTGAGCTAGAGCTAGATCCACCCATCCTGTGAGGGCTGTTCCAGCTTCTCTGCTGTAAGAGCCATCTCAGTGCTCCATTTCCTGCAGTTGAGTTTATTTCGGGTCTCCCACTGCCTTCTCTCAAGTAATGGTACTTACCAACACAGGGACCATTTGAAAACTACTTTTACAGTGGGAATGTAGTTATCTTTACGTGGCCACGCCACTGTCTCACCAGCTCTTAAATGGTGATCGTCTGTTAACTTATATTAGTAACTAATCAAATGTTGAAGCCCCCCATGGATTTTTTGGTTGATAATAAGAGAAGTGCTAGTATCCTGAAGGAATTTTGCAGAGAGCCTGCTAAGTATTACATGGCAGACTGTTTCCAAAGGAGTCTTTTTTTGAAAAAAATTCCTAATGTTGCTTGTATCGACACAGCTCCAGTAACAGGAGCAGTTTGATTTCTAGATATTTTTTTCCTCCTCCTGGAACAATTCCCTGCCTGTTCTTTGCAGTTAACAGGGAACATTCAGTTTGGATAGCTATTAGATACCCTCAAAAGTATGGAATATAATAATAATATAGTTTCAAAGTCACAGTTATTGCTACAAGCAACTGCATTGTGTAAGAACTCAAACAAATCATTCCTTTTCATGATTTTTTGGTACGTATTTATGTTTATACACATACCTCATTTTTGGTCCAACTAAATTCTTTCTGAAATTTTGATGCTAAATTAGTGATTTTTGGGTACGTATTTATGTTTATACATATATCTCACATTTTTGCTCCAACCAAATTCTTTCTGAAATTTTGATGCTAAATTATGTAAAACCAGAGTCTGGTGTACTCTCAAAATTTAACACTTGGGAGTTGTTTTAACTCTGTGACTTTCTTCAGTCGTATTTATGAACATAATATTAGGTTTGCCTCTTGTCCTTTTCTGTGTACCTCCAAGGAAAGTTTGGTTCTGTCTTTCATGCAGCCTTCAACTACCTCATACCAGCAAGCAAAGATAAAGAAGAATTATGCAAAATGAGCTAAATTGCACTTGAGCAAGAAGTCTTCTGTGTCTGTTGAGTGGACAACACCTCTTTCAGAAGACAGCATCAAGCATTTTTCCCAATATAACAGAAATTACATTGAAATTACTTCTTTTCCTTTGTAAAATGAATTTAAGATGTGAAATATTTTAGAGCAAGCAAAGTTTTCCAAGCACTCACAAATCTTGATAATTGGATAGACATGAAAATTTGTAGGATGTATAGAATTTCAAGGCAAATGAAAGATGGAGATTGTACTTGGATTTTTAAAATCAAGTAGCAATGAAGAAGGGATAGATATAATGGATCATCAAAATTATGCCTTTTTTGTGTGTTGATACTATTTGAAGAGTTCCTTATTGCTACGGGTCCCAGATCTGTCCCTGAAGTTCCTGTGACAGAAGTTTTGGCTCACGTAAAGGGTAACCTCCATCTGATACAACAATTTGGTTTCTAATTTTTCTGTCCTCCTGATTTCACTGTTGTCCTCAGGGAAGCTGTGACTTATGTTACCATCACACTAATCAGTTGTTGAGGTTCCAGTGTGAAAAATGGAAATTGGACAACATTGTATAAATAAAAAATAAATGCATCTTGCTAATGAAGCTTGGTGAGCCTTGGCTTACTGCTTGCCTGTGTCATTTGTACATGCAAAGCTATGGCAGCAAAAAGATCTTTCCTTTTATGAGAGAAATGAAGTTATATAAAATATGACTTGACCTTCACTGTAAATTATTTTTCCTGAGATTACATTTTAATGTTCATTTCCTGTTTGTTACAGCTTAGTTGTAAGTGATGATGATGTGTGGAGAGACCAGTTTTACAATGGAAATATTCAGAAAGAAAGAGGTAACAAACACATTTCAAAGTAATATGTTGCAACACTGTAACTTAATTCTCCATTGCAAAAATGATTTTTAGTATGTCATATATGTGTAATAAAA